TAACGCATATATTGATGTTATTGAAAACTACGACTTGGCTAATAATCCAGATCCCAGAGCAGCAATAGAATCGAATTAAGAACATTCTTATGAGGGAATATTTTATTTTACTGAAAATTCAATGTCAGGAGTTGAGATGGTAGAGATGATAAATAATGAAGACGAGTGGGTCTAATGTGCAAACGTATGTTTAGTTTTTAGCTCGTGTTAATAAACACAGTTGACACAAATACTTAAAACTACTTGTAATATTTAATGTATTCATAGATTTATAAAACGAGGTCAGACATTTGAAATAATTAAAATACCATTTTGGGTGACAATACACATTCATTATCACATTTATTGAGAGAACATGATAGCATAAAAGGATTTGAAAATGTATTTCCTATATTAGTAATCATTTTGTTTTAATAGTTTAATTATATTGTTAAATTCTAAAAATACATACCTCTTTACCAGTTCGTTGATCAACATTATTTTAAATAGAAAATTACTTGGCATCAGCATGTATATTTAAAGACAATGTATTGTTTGCTTTAAATTAAACTTTATAATTTAATAACTGATACGATTAAAAAAAATATCGTTTGTTAAAGAACATTACAGGTAGATTAAGCAAATAAAAATAAAATAAAAATAAATGTTTTAATCTCATAAATTATTAATTAATTTATTTCATAATATGCTTTTATTATTATCTTGATTAAATAAATTATAAAGACGAAAACGCGAAGTTTTCTATAGTAAAAAAAATTGTGAAACAGAAATTGGTATATCGTTACCTTGCCTCTGTGTGGAATTAACGATAATGGCTCTATTGGTATTATTTATATTTAAAATATTTTCCACTGGATAGGTGAACGAAGAATATCGATCGCTCCAGAAGTATCTATCGATTAAAAAGAATGCATTAACATTTCTAAACGCATATTTTAATATATATTCATTAAAATAATGTATAGAGGATTAAAAATAAAGGGTGCAATATATACTAAATATTTGTATTCCTATTGCTTTTTAAACTATCCTGTTTTGAATTGTTTATTCGAGAATACTTTTTACACCGTTGTTTGTGTAAACATGATGTTTAGCATGTAAAATAAATGCAATAATCTTTGCAATAATGGATCTTAAGCATTTATACCTAAGCAGGCTATCGTGATCTACGAATAAAGCACTGTAATTATTTTCCACTTATATATAGATTACAAAAATGTCAGTTAATTTCTAAAATGACATTTAAGCAACGATTAGAATAAACAGTTTTGTTAAGTTGATACATTTTAAATTTTAAAATATTTTTTAAAATGTATGGTGTATTAAATAGTTGATCTTAATCAATTAGTTTCTCAACATGCATAATTTGTTGTGTTGATTTTTTAAATAAAGTAACAAAGACTTTGATGAAAAGATGATGTGGTCATAGAAGCACAGCAGCAAAATGCAATAAACATTTAACATATTATTTTTCTTTTAACAAAATGCAGTGGCGTAGCGAGGTCGGGTGTCACCCGGTGCGGCACTTAATGGTGTCACACTCCAACCCCCCCCCAGAGGCGCAGCGACTCTTCCCGGGGATAAACTTTCAATTTTCGATTTGCACCCCACCCCCCCTCAAACTTTCGATTTGCACCCCCACCCCTCGAACTTTCGATTTGCACCCCGTCTCAAATGTTTCTCTATATATTTCACTATTTTTTGCCTTGGTGTCACCCCCCCCCCAAATGGTGTCACCCGATGCGGTCCGCACACCCGCCCCCCCCCCCTCGCTTCGCCTCTGACAACATGAAATGTTATCAACTTATATTTTAAGAGAACTCAAGTTCGTTTCATCAAATTATAGCAATAACAGGGGTCTAGGACAATAAACCAATTCAATCATCCCGCGGTAAATTAGCCCACTCTGACAATATATATATATATATATATATATATATATATATATATATATATATATATATATATATATATATATATATATATATATATATATACATATATATATATATATATATATATATATATATATATAGAGAGAGAGAGAGAGAGAGAGAGAGAGTATTTGTATAACCTCTAACTGTTTACGTTACTGGCAATGTTGCGGAAAGGTTGCTGATATCAATATTTAGGCCTACTATATTTTTCTAGTCTATGAACTGATTTTTTATAATAATTTATAGTTATTGTCTCACGTAACATTAGGCCTATTTTGATAATTTATTATAGTTTAACTTTGGTTAAACGTTGAATAGTACTATTGAAGAAACATTAATATTCCTCTAAACGGAATTGACAGCAACAAGCCACAGTATTCTAGATAGTAAGAGCGGGGAGAATAAATATTAAATAAGGTTTATGCCGTTTAAATAACTAAATAATTTATATATCTATACATCTATACATATATATATATATATATATATATATATATATATATATATATATATATATATATATATATATACTCAACTTTTTACAGCATAAGGATTATTTTAAACCCACTGGTAAGTTTTCAGTCATTTATGTAAATTTTGTTCACCAATGATAACAGCTTTGATCATCTATATATATAAAAAGCAATGTATGTGTGTCTGTGTGTGTGTGTGTGTGTCCTTTATACATTACTACACCTCTGATTACATCGCCATGAAACTTTGGGAAGTTGTTGAGAATATTCCTGGGGAGGTTTTCTGCGAAAAAAAAAATTCAAATTCGCAGGGATGGCACCCAGGTAGGGCGCGATTTGTTTTTCTCTATATACCGTATATAAAAATAATAAAAGTGAATTGCAGTGACACTGTTCACACGATCGCCATGAAACTTTAGGAAGTTGTTGAAAATATTCATGGGGAGGTTTCTGAGAAGAAATTTTTTTTTAAATTCGCAGGGGTGGCGCCCCGATAAGGCGCGATTTGTTTTTTTTTCTATTTACGGTATATAAAACTAAAAGTCGATTTTGGTTTGGCATCGTTCATCCAATAGCCATGAGACTTTGGGGAGTTCATTATATTACTCTAGGGAAGGGTTCTGTAAAAAATAATTTTTAATTTCGCAAGGGCGGCGCCACGGGAGGGTCCGATTTTTCTCTATTTACGGTATATAAAAATAATAAAAGTGAATCGCAGTGAAACCGTTCATCCGATAGGCATGAAACTTTGGGGAGTTCATTATAAAACTCTATGGAAGGGTTCTGTAAAAAAAATCATTTTTAATTTCGCAAGGGCGGCGCCACGGGAGGGTGCGATTTTTCTCTATATAAGGTATATAAAAATAAAAGTCGATTTTGGTGTGACACCGTTATCCGTTAGCCATGAGACTTTGGGGGAGTTGATTAGAACGATTCAGGGAACGGTTCCGTAAAAAAAATCCTTTTTTTAATTTCGCAAGGGCGGCGCCACGGGCGGCTGCGATTTTTCTCTATATACGGTTTATAAAATTTCGGTTTCACACCGTTCATCCGTGTACCATGAAAGTTTGGGGAGATGATTAGATCACTCAATGGTAGGGTTCTGCAAAAAAAATATTGTTTAATATTGCAAGGGGGGCGCCCCGGGGGGGGGGGGGGGGGGGGTGATATTTTTTCTCTATATACGGTACACAAAAAATAAAACTCGGATGCGGTTCATCCGAGTGCCATGAAACTTTAGGGAGCAGATGAGAATACTCCCGAGAATATTTCTGCGAAAAAGAAAACTAAAGTTTCTTATGGGCGGCGTCATATAAGGTACAACTTTCGTCAATACACGGTTTGGAGCCTAGAGTTTTAGAGCGACTATGTTGGCACTTGGCATCCGTTAATCGAGCGTCCTGCATAGCGAGTAAGGGGTACTACTATATTCAGCCATAAAACTAGAACAGGCTTCTAAAAATAACTTTGTAACGCGAGGAAATCCTTCTGTACAGTTTCGTCACCTTGCAAAAGATGAACAAATAACTTTTTGAATATGAGGAGCCTACTGTAGAATTTCGTCACTTGGCGAATGATGCAATAAGCATCTACTATTAGACAATCCAGTCAGAAATTGAGATCGAGCATCTAATAATAGACCATTAGTAACGCTAGCATATTACATCAGTCACACTGATGTTTAAAACCTGTCAATTACTTTTTTACGTGTTAAAGAAAAAAAGCCTGTTCATTTTTGGGATTTTAGCGAATGACGAAATCTGCATCATTATTAACAGGATGCTATTTGGTACGATGGCGCCTATTACTTTTAAGGAGCCGGGGGTCGTACGCCGCGCCTATGCGGTAGTGTAATCGGGGGGTGGGGGCCCTGAGAGCGCCCCTGTACGTCTCGGTCACCGAAGTGTGTTCTACCATATTATTTCGGTAAGTGATTAGTGTACACTCAAGGTTTTCATTCGGTAGTATAGGTAAACCCGTGTCCTGAAATTTATGATCCAAGAACAGGCATCATTTACATTTAAATTACTCATTTTTAGAAAAGAAGGTCACGCGTCTAAGAACATATAATTATAATTGATAACGCGTTGGTGAAATCCTAATATATTTCGTCAAACGTTCTTCTATCCCCGCGGCAACGCGCGGGGGTCGGGTACGCTAGTTAGAAATAAAAATCGCCAAATATTTTTAAAATGTGTCATTATCACATGCGAATGAATTTATTTTAAAAAATACAGCAGTTAATTTCTATTAATATAATGGGAATTTATATTCTGAATACTAAAAAAAACAAGTTTTTTAAATACCTTCATTAATTTTAATTATATATATTATCTGCATAGCTTCTAATTTCAAAATCATTTTTAAACAAAATCTATTGTGTGATTGTAACTATTATTTTCTACTGAAGAGTGCTTAGCTGTGTCATGGAAAGCTTCGAAATCATTAAACTCCAAGTCATCAGAAACCAAGAATATCAAATTCTCCAGACAAATGCCCAAAGGCTCTGTCCAATTTAGAGAAGCTGAAGTCTCTGTGAGTACAAGTATAAGCAACCTAAAACAGGATCTTGTCGAATTGTACAACATACCAGCAGAGGAGCAGCTATGGTATCTAAAAAGTATCCTAATGGAGGACGATACATGCTTGAAAGATTATGACATCTCTTCACACGATAGGATTTCAGTAATGGAAAAACGACTACTGTAAGAATAGTAATATATTACACACACTGATGTGCTATAAATATGTACAAAACTATAAGCAATGTATCGGAAAAAAATAATTCTCGAAACAATGTTGGATTCATGTATTTTTTGAAAAATATACAGTGTTAATATAGTTTTTAGTTAAAAAACCAATAATGTTGTCAATTTATATATACCAGTACTGCAGGTAAAATGGAGCTAAGCCAAATGAAATCTTCAGCGTAGTCCATTCTATTCCTAGCTGCCTTTCCCTGACTTAAATTAGTGGACTCCGGGATAAGGGATAAACTAATGACAATTAAAACTGATGGAGGTCGGCATGGTCCGGTCGGTTAAGCCATCGTTTTTCTGAACCGATAACTGCTTGAGCTCCGGGGTAGATGAGGCTCGTTAGCTGGGGATAGCAACTCACCTAGGAGAGAAAATGCAAAATCAAACAACTGCTGCCTTGTAGTTTGTTCTTGGTTCGAGTGATTTAATTTTGATATCCCCCTCAGTTACGAAATTGTTTATTGAATTTTCAATGACTAATTAAACATCTAATTAAATTAGAAAATAAATAGACTTGTATTGTCATCTAAGTGGAACAAATATGGAAAGTTTGAAAGAAGTGGATCGAAATTGAGTAACAAGATTTTCCACAAAACCACAAACAACACCCAAACAGACGTTGCGTACAAAATAAAAGCTTGTAAAGTAAGCTTAACTGCCAAGCTAATAAATTAAGTGCTTTTTACTTTCTCGTATATACGTAGTATATATAGATTTTTACAAATCTCGACGTTTTACACCTCACTGATACGGAAAAACATAATTTTGCAATCTTGTCCGTATGTCTGTGTGTGTGTGTGTGTGTGTGTGTGTCTGTGTGTCTGTGTGTCTGTGTGTAAACACGATTACTTGAGTACCGTTACAGCTAGGTTGATGAAATTTCATATATAAGTATTATATCAAAATCGTAGATCCGTATCAACTTTTGAGCGATTTCCGATAACCTGAAGTGGTACTTTTTCTACTTTGAATTTTTCAAAAGCCTATAACTTGAGTACTAATTCAGATAGATAAATGAAATTTCACATGTAAGTAAAAGATCTAATGCTCTACCTTCTATCAAATTTTGAGTAATTTCCGTTGACCGGAAGTACTAATTTACGCTATTTCCGATTTCTCAAAAAACGCATGTAAATTTATAAAGTACTAATAATATTGCGCACTATTACGCACATTTGGTTTTGGTGCTCGCTTGGTGCGCAATTTTTTTTTTCTACTAGATTTTATTTATTTTTAAAAGTTTAAGTAAACAAAAATCATGTCTATATTCCGAGTTGACATCCCACGTAGTGTTATATTAGAATATTCGAGAAAGTTTAGGGGAGATCACTCCCGGTTTATTTAATTTGTGTCAAAGATTAAGGCATGTTGGATTGTTAACTTTGTTAACTATGATATAACAATAAACAGGGCGATGTTGTGTGGAAGGGGCAGAGGCGTAGCAGATTGAAGTAGGTGGGTCAGCAGCCTCGGGCGCGGACAGTGATGTCGATGATTAAGTTTAGTGCTCTTGTTTCATTATTCAGCTTGAAATTAATAACTAGAAAAATATGAACAACTTATTTTCTTCGTTCAATAGCATTCGTTCTTGGTAATGATAAAAATAATTTAAATCTCACGGCATAAAATCTCTTACAAACATAGTCAGTAGCAGAAATTCAGATATATTTCTTTTCATTTTTAACCGAACTGGCCGACAGGAATTATATCCCCAATTTCACGAGAAACTAAATTAACTTGTTATTTTGATATTGAATGCAAGTTGTATACTAGTTTTCTAATAATTAAAGCATGCGGCCTGTTGTCATTTAAAAATAAATAAATTATACTAGCTTTTTGTTTAACACACTATAAGTGGTACTAAATTAAATTAAAGAACATGAAGGAAAAGGAAGGAAGAGAACATATCAGTTTCTGAAAAAAAAACCCAATGAACTGTGTGACTCTTTGTTTAAAAAGTAAGTGGCAGTATCCGGATGTCAAGATACAGTTTCAAATAAGAATTACAATGAAAAAAAATATGTGAAATTTGTTGTAATATTTCTCTTTCGGACAAAATTGAGCCAGTTGATAGATATGATTAATCTCTGGACTCTGCGGGTTTAATAGTACACAACATGGGCGCAACTACAGTGCCGCCAGACCCCGCAATGCGGGGGGGGGGGGGGGGGGGGGGCACGCCATTTAGGAGCCCATAGCCGACCATAATACATTTTTTAAATTAAAAAAAAAAAATACTTGCATTTTTGACTTGACGGTAAAAGCTTTCGTAAATAACAGATGTACTACAGTTGTGATGTTATACAGTAGCTAATACATGCTGTTGCGTAAAAAGAAATATATGCCTGAGCTGTAGTGTGAAAGATAGGCAAACGTTCAAAACACTTCCATGACTTATTTCCCATTTAAAATAGTTAAATAGGGGTGCTCATAAGCTCCTTTGAATACATTTCTACTAAACAAATTAAAAAGCAATTACTTCTCTTAATTATTATTTTAAAAAATACAAACTAAGAATGACATAGCATAAAAAGGAAATATATTTAAAACAAATAATATAAATACAAAAAAACAAAATATAAACATAACACGAGAAACCATTACACATACAAAGCTTTCACGCTTTATATCTTTTTGACAGGCTACAAATCAGAGGGTCGACCATATTACAGCAAACTTATTTAATAAACTAGTTCTAATGCACTCACACACATGACATGATGTAATTTGTTTAAATTGAAAAAAAAGACATTTTTTTTTAAATACGAGCAGGCCAGCAATGAGTATCCAATATTTGTGTTTTGTGTTTGTATATATATATATATATATATATATATATATATATATATATATATATATATATATATATATATATATATATATATATATAGGAGGGGGACCAAGAATTTTTTTTCCGGGGTGGCCCTTTTTTCTAGTTCCGCCACTGGTACACAATGATGAGTGCAGTTTAATACTCTTCAAGGTATTAATTACCCTGTTATTACAGTATACAAATCCACAGTATAGTACCGTTTACACTGCATTAATACTTTCAATACAATTCACGATTGAATTAAATTTTGAAATTTCGCTTTTAGTTTAAATATTGATAGGCAGAGAGTTTTTTTAAAAGAATTTTGATTAGACATTATGTTCTCTACGCTGCTCAGATTACCATTTTTTTAAAATTATTTAACTATTTTACAAATGGTTGTTTAGTTTTAAATCGGAGACCGTACAGAAATCAGTTTTTAAAAACCAGAGTTGGTAATTCTATTACCGTCTTATTTCTTTCCCCAAATGACAAAACACATTCGCTCGACATTTCCGAGAGTCTGTAAAATATAACTGCAGCAATATTGTTGATGTTTTAATAAAATAGGTGTATTCAAAATTCCAGATGAAACGCGGAGGACTCAACAGAGAACTATATTCGTGTAGATTAGGGTAGACAACTTAGAATATTTTATATTAAAAGAATTGCTTAAAAGTTCGGTTGTCACTCTGTGCGGCATTTTATTAAAACTTTGGTAAAAACATCACGGAATTTTATTTTTCAATAGTGTATGCCCCAAGTTCTTCAATAAACAAAGGTGCTTCGTGTCTCTGTGTTTCCCCAGGGTGAATATTCCGTTTTATAGACGTATCTGAAAAAGTGTTTAAAAAAACAAGCAGTTTTAGCGTATTCGATTGTTATTTTACTCACTTTAATCTGATTCTTGCGATTTATATTAATACATTTATAATTATATTAAATAAGTAAAAAACATAAATACTATTTAATCTGTATTAACTAAGCGTGTAGCCTACCTGACGTTTTAAAAATTTCACAAAATATAAAGCCACATGTATGATATTATTGAAAATAGTGCAAATATATTTCATTATTCTTTAGATATAAATAGTATTATGTAAAATGTATTAAAGAAAAATATTTACGTTAAAATATTAATTAATTATAGACGAAGATTTAGAAAATATGAAAGAAATTGCAGTTTGCATAGCTTGGAAGTATAAGTAAACCACCTAATTAATAAATATACAAAATGTCACATTTAGTGTCATATATCAATATATATATATATATATATATATAATATATATATATATATATATATATATATATATATATATATATATATATATATATATATATATATATATATATATATATATATATATATAATATGTCTTACTTTCTTGACGTTTTGAGATTAATCTAAACATAAAAATAAGTACTATTATTTTCTACAATAAATTTAAGATAATTTATTTGATGCTAGTTAAATCACACTAAATTGTAATAATTTAAATTACAGTGAAACATTAATTGATTATAGAGTACATGAGGAAATTTAATTTAAAAAATGGCAACGATAGCAATAACTTTACATTGTTTTTTTTTTCGGATTAACTTCACTAAAACAAAAGAATGTTTATTTTCAACACTAATGAAATTTAAAACATTTTTACATCAATTGTCTTTTAAAGTGTCGTTATTTAAAATAAAATTGTCAAAAAAAGCAAGAAAAAAAATACACGTACACATTATAAACTTGATTTCGAAGATAGTTTAAATAAAAAGAGACAATACTCAAAATAGGATACTTACTTCAACATATTCAGTTGTTTTTTTCCTTTTTTCTTAGGAGACAGTAAGCACAGATGCAGAATAGCAGCACTGTAAAATATAAAGTATACAAACGCTATATATCTAGATTTACATAGATCTATCACGGCTCAGAATTTATAATTATAATGGGAGTTTCATTGTTAGCTACACTATTGATTTGAGACCTAACATCATTAACAGTTATAAATGTTAAACTTTGCACGTTCTTACCTAAGACGACAACAGCAATTGCAGCTAACGTTATGGCTAGTA